GTTACGGTGTTTACAGGATCGGGTACCGTTATACTAAGTCCAGGCAGGCAGAGAGAGATAGAGAGAGAGAGAATATCAGCTCATATACAAAAAAAAAGTTCAATCAATCAACGTAGCGTCATAATAAAAATAAGGATTAAAACCTTTGATCCGTTAAGCGTAGTGTACAGACTGAATAAGACATACGAGACATATAGGAACATCTGTCCAAACTATAGATCATTATTCATGCTTACTGCTATCATATGTTTCCGTTTTTCTTTTTTATGTTAGGCAACAAGAAGTCGAGGTTCTTGCGATGTGATTTTTGTTGATTATATATACATGTGAAAAGACATTACGGTTTTGTTTTTGTTTTGTAGCTATTGCCGTTTTATTACTGTAATTAATTTATGAATTTAAACTTAGTTGAATTTCGACAATTGAGTGAAAAATAGAAAGAAATGAAAAAAAACGTAGATCATTTTAATATTCTTTAAAGTACTTGATGTGTTAATCTATTCTTAAGGTAAAGAACGAACTTTAATAAGTAAGCACGAATACGTATCAGCGTTTTGTCTGTTTATGTCACGAAGGAATGAGACGTTCCCTTTTTGAAGGGTACGTCACCCGTTAATACAACACAATCCAACACAATCGAAACTTCAACCTCAAACCTTACGGCGGAATCGACGTTGTTGTAATATTGGGTTCCAGTATCTATATAGCAAAATCGTCTACCTATATAGACCAGAATAAGATAGGGGTTATGCTCCATCGCGAGAGCATGGAACGGGTCACAGTCCTCGCCGAACCCTGCGACGAAGAGCTCGACTAGTAAATTAATCCATAGACACATCCCACTGAGTTTCTCGTCGGATCTTCTCAGTGGATCGCGCCAGTGGTAGATTCTGGGAAGCACTGCCAAGGCCACTAGCAAGGGCCAGTTTTTTTTTTATTTTTTTTTTTTATTGCTTAGATGTGTGGACGAGCTCACAGCCCACCTGGTGTTAAGTGGTTACTGGAGCCCATAGACATCTACAACGTAAATGCGCCACACACCTTGAGATATAGTTCTAAGGTCTCAGTATAGTCACAACGGCTGCCCCACCCTTCAAACCGAAACGCATTACTGCTTCACGGCAGAAATAGGCGGGGNTGGCCATGGCCTCCCACGAGCCCTGATCCTCTAACATGCGGGCGACGACAGCCCGCAGGGAGAGGTTTCTCCCCAGCACCGCGACGAGATCTCGCCGCGAGTGCTCCCAACGCGGGCACGTTTCGAGCGCGTGCTGCGCGTCATCGTCCGGGTGCCCGCACTGGTGGCAGCCCGGATGTGGCTCTCTCCTGCAGACCTTCCACAGGCACCTCCCGAAACAGCCATGTCCCGAGAGGACCTGCGCAAGGTGAAAGGAGAGTACACCGTGACGCCGATCCGACCATGCCTCCAGCTAGGGCACCAGGGCCTCGAGGGTGCGCCGGCGGGTGGCCGAAGTTTGGCCAAGTTCCTTCAGCAATCGCTCTCTCCACTTAGCGTATGCTACATGACGCGCAGCACGCTTCCACCGACCGACAGCCGACGGGCCGGGCGACCGTCCCCGACTCGAGGCCTGCGCCTTACGCCGATATACCGCAGCAATCCTTATAATACCTAAACTACAAGCTCTAAATTTTTAACGACTTAAATCAGTTTACTTTAATTTGATTATTTCATGGAATTGGTATGTTTGGAGGAAACAGCAACTCTAAACTGAGACAAATTGACTTAAATACATCAAAGTGTTCACTCAAAGATGTGGAATTAATTTTGAGGTTGATTCATACGGCAATAAGGAACATTGGCTATGAATTATACAAACCGTAGCCACTGTAGATGTTCACAAATAGCTAGAAATTCTTCATCGAATATTGGCTTGATTGAGATACAGATCTTTATTGAGGACGCTAAAATATTACTTGAAAGAAATATTGCATATTAGAATTACGTCATGTAATTTTCAATACTAACTAATGCTTTTACGAGTTTAATACGAGCATATGAAATTTTATATAAGACGAATTGTTACTGAATGTTCTAATACACAATTAGGAACTGTGACAGAAATTTTTTTTTTTTTTAAAAACACGCTTATAGAAAATAAACTATAAAATGGAAAATAAATAAGAGTTTAAAAAACACGCTTTTAAAGAAAATCCAACAAAAAAATTGAAAATAATTAATACAATTAAAATTAAATAACGCGCGTTATTCACAATTATATGCGTTTGGCGCCTGGCTTCATTCGCGTTATATTGCTGGTTCACATAATATGATCACGAAAACGACAAATTGCTGCCATTTTGTATTTATTTATTTTTTAATAAAGTACATTTTGAATAAGGATTTTTGTCTGTTACGCCAGATTAGTAATTTTACATCGTTTCAGTAACAAATTTAAAAAAAAAGTTTCTTTTTTTATTGCTTATATGGATGGACGAGCTCACAGCCCACCTGGTGTTAAGTGGTTACTGGAGCCCATAGACATCTACAACGTAAATGCGCCACCCACCTCGAGATATAAGTTCTAAGATCTCAGTATAGCTACAACGGCTGCCCTACCTTTCAGATCGAAACGCATTACTGCTTCACGGCAGAAATGGGCAGGGTGGTGGTACCTAACCGCGCGGACTCACAAGGTCCTACCACCAGTAGCTTTCATTTACAATATAAAATTGACGCACCTTGTTCATCACGTCTATGTATTGGGCTTGTAGAATTTCATTTCAGAACTATGTACATACCTAAAGAACACATGCATAGATATAGATTATTTCAAAAGAAACTTCGAAATGGCTGATATTAAATGAAAATGGAAAAATATTTTTATAATGAAACCGTCTTTTCGGAGCTGATTACTTAATACTTTAAAATCAGACTTTGACGAACCAATGCTAATAAATCCAATTCTTCGGACGAAATTTACATTAATAGTTAAATTAGAATAAATGTGCGTAGTGGAGAGACACTAGTTAAAATATATTAATGTTGAACTCTTTGAGAATTGGCACCCTCTTATCTATTTATAGAGTGTACGAAAGCGCGGCTATAACAGTCTAGTGGTTATCGATTAAAGGTTAAGCTTACGCAACAGGTAAAAGCTTTTTTTAATAAGCCAACACTGCAATTTTGATCGAGATTTCGACTTTACATATCGAGATGGGCTTTTATATTCACGTTACGGTGTTTACAGGATCGGGTACCGTTACACTAAGTCCAGGCAGGCAGAGAGAGATAGAGAGAGAGAGAATATCTGCTCATATACAAAAAAAAAGTTCAATCAATCAACGTAGCGTCATAATAAAAATAAGAATTAAAACCTTTGATCCGTTAAGCGTAGTGTACAGACTGAATAAGACATACGAGACGTATAGGAACATCTGTCCAAACTATAGATCATTATTCATTCTTACTGCTATCATATGTTTCCATTTTTCTCTTTTATGTTAGGCAACAAGAAGTCGAGGTTTTTGCGATATGATTTTTGTTGATTATATATACATGTGAAAAGACATTGCGGTTTTGTTTTTGTTTTGTAGCTATTGCCGTTTTAATACTGTAATTAATTTATGAATTTAAACTTGGTTGAATTTCGACAATTGAGTGAACAATAGAATGAAATTTAAAAAAAACGTAGATCATTTTAATATTCTTTAAAATACTTGATGTGTTAATCTATTCTTAAAGTAAAGAACGAACTTTAATAAGTAAGCACGAATACGTATCAGCGTTTTGTCTGTTTATGTCACGAAGGAATGAGACGTTCCGGTTTGAAGGGCACGTCACCCGTTAATACAACACAATCCAACACAATCGAAACTTCAACCTCAAACCTTACGGCGGAATTGACGTTTTTGTATAATTGGGTTCCAGTATCTATATAGCAAAATCGTCTACCTATTTAGACCAGAATAAGATAGGGGTTATGCTCCCTCGCGAGAGCATGGAACGGGTCACCGTCCTCGCCGAACCTTGCGACGAAGAGCTCGACTAGTAAATTAATCCATAGACACAGCCCACTGAGTTTCTCGCCGGATCTTCTCAGTGGGTCGCGTTTCCGGTCCGTTGGTAGATTCTGGGAAGCACTGCCAAGGCCACTAGCAAGGGCCAGTGTTAGCAATATTCCGGTTTGAGCCCCGTGAGCTCACCTACACGTCAAGGAGAAGATGAAAAAGCCTCTCAAGGCTATCAGCATAGGCAGGGAAAAAAGGGTCGAGCCCCATTACCCGGGCATAGACCAAAAATTAATCTAAAAAATAATACCAACTTTACGTTCTATCATGATTTTTAAATTAGAGCCAAGATATAAAAGAAAAAGCCACAACATATCTGTATTTAAAAGCGACAGTAATATCATTACTGTTATTAAAAATGTAGATATTAAGCGCTTAAACGAAATTAAATAATTGTACTTAAAATTCATTCCGATAATCTTAGTAATTTAGAAACCTTATAGGCTATTCGTTTTTTGAATCATCATTACTATTTAGATAAATAGATAAAACAGTTTTCGCATATCACGTACATCGCGTAGTCCACTTTGATAAGGGACTAAGAAAACAGCAAGCTAACAAAATCTAGATAGCAGTATTAATTATTTTTGTGACATCAATAAAACCTCATGTAAAATAAATAAAAAATTGAATCGACAAAGTATTGCTAAGTAAGAATTACTTCCAATTAACATACATGTAACCAATATCATCATTATCTTACGAGTAAATTACCATAGAGATGAGATAACGAGTAACATGAATTCTAGTTTTATTGGTATCGCCCTGTAAAACGATCGCGATTGGCAATTTATTTTAGTTATTCCCAAACTTTAGTTGATACGGCTGCTCCGTAAGAGTTATTGAATAACGTTGTGTGAATAGTTGAGAACGACTGTAATGAAGGCGTTTTAGATGTTTTGAGTGATGTAGCGACTAGCGAGGCGTCGCTCCGATACGTTTATGGCGATTTACGGCAGTGCGAAGTGAAACATCGACAGAGTAATACGTGCCCGCCCTCGCGACAGGCTTTTCCGATTTCCTAAACTCGTGTTCAGTTAAAATCTACCCCCACTTCATGCTTCATCTATGAAATGTGGACAATGGAATTTGCTTCGTTTTACTTTCGGTAAGCTACGTCGTTATAAATAATATATTTTTAACTTTACAATTAACAGAAAAAAACCGAATGTTTTAAGGAAAATTTAATCGAAACGAGTTTCTTAAAAAAAATGCAAAAAACCGTATAATAAAATCATCTCTGACGTTAACCTATTTTATCTAGTTCTTATTGTTGTAATATGATGTAATTATCAAATGCGGATATCGTTGGGTCAGGTCATTGTCAAATAGGGTGTAGGGGCGGTGATCCTCCATACAATACCGAAGGGTTTAATAATATTTGGGCTCACAACACTAAAAATAGTATTTTGGAAACAAAATATTTCGAATGATCACTCACGCAGATATTCTTAAGCAGTTAAGATGATGTGGTTTTTAAACTAATGATTTTATTCTTTACATTTTTTTTTTAAATAATAAACATTAGTTTTAATTTTCATCAAGCAAATCAGTTAAAATGCGCGTGAATGTCTCTAAATCCCCTTTGATGTTTGATTAGAAACCTAAATCCTGATAAGCGATAAGAACGCATAAAATGTGAAATTCGGTTGTTTGAATTTGGATATTTCCAAAACTGAGCAGTACAAATATTGTTCTACGTTTTCTGTTGAACCGTATAATATACCCACTGTTTGCCACGTATGATTTAACAACTCACAACATCATTCGGTCTCGTCGGCGTTTTTTTAGTAGCAGAAGACATTCTGTTATAAATTAATTTATTATTTAATCTATGGCTTATCCAGCGGATGGGATGGCTGCAGCATTTTATTTCACAAAAACAGACATGATAAAATTTTATGCATGTTTTATTTATTTATTATTGTTATTATGTATTCGATTTTTTCAACTATTTGCTGACAAGTTCTTTGCTCGCTGGATGTAAAGAAATCATCAAAGTCCACAGATAACACAAATGCTCCTGTCACATTGACGCGTGAGGTCAAAGTCTCAATGGCAAAAGAATATCGGTTGATCTACCCGTCAAACCGGAACACGCGGTTACTTCAAGGCACAAACACCTTTGCATAGATTACACTTATATTATATACACTTATACACACAGACTTATATATATACACTTAATATTTAAGAGAACTTTTTTATCGACCGATTGGTCAAAAACAAGAAACGGGTCCATAGCAAAATCCATCATTAATCAGACAGTAAATACGTACATACACTAAAAGAACTGTTATTCAATAAATCATGCACAATAAAAAAACTCGAATATAAAAAATATGCTTAGAAACCAGTCAGACAAATGCAAAAGCTTACAAATTTTAGATTTAGAATTAACAACGCATTTTCGGTAACTAACATAAAAGGTAGAAAAGAAAACCCATCGCGCCAAATTTTAAATAGTATTTATTTCCATTATAAACAGTATAGGACACAGTAAATAATAGTGGTATAGTATAATTACTACATATTATAAACACTATTACTAATAATTACTATTACTTAATCGCAATATACTATTTGGCTTCGGTCAAAAATTTCCATTGTCTGTCTTTTGCCACTCTTCTTCGGATGGGTTTTGGTGTTATACTAATACCAGTTTTCACGCTAAATTATTTTTACAATCTTTATCCCAAGACTACTTCAAGTACCGAATTGTGTCATCCGTTAATCGTATAGTTATCCTTTGATAAAACTCTTAGATGTGCCGCATCAAACGATGCGACTATGCGATTATGTTTATATCTCGTAGGTGAGTACAATTATTTTCAATTTTACAATTATTCAATTATTCAATATTACAATTATTTAGAAAATTCGTATCGAATAGGTGTTCATGAATGTTTTGTATCTGAAAATATTTAGTGGTATTCAGGTTGCTATGTCTATGGGCTCCCCTGTCCACTAATCACTAAATGATCTAAACAAAATAAATAAAAACATTACGTAATTACTTTGCCCCTCTTGTCACACATCAAATACAACCTGGTGATCTTCACTGGGCAACATAACTAATCGACAATAATAATAAAAAATATTAACGAAAAAAAAATAACCGGCTTCAATAAATTATAATTAGAAAATCATGAATGTGGTCGAAGTCACTTATATAAGACATTATTAAGGATAACTCAAAAACGATTCGTCAGAACTTGATATTTAGAGGCGATCATATGAGTAGTACAGTCGAAGTACATACCAGTACATAGTACAGTCGCATTGAGAATGCTCTCGTTTATTTGAAGTCGCTTCAAAGTGTATATTTGCTATTGCTATCGCCATCAACAGATCTCGCCATCAACAGATACAAAACTAAAATCATGGTCGTTGATCGCACAAAAAAGTTGAAGCTTAGTGGAGCATTAAACCTTGAGCTTGTTGACAGCTTTATTTACCTAGGCTCCAACATTAACAATACCGGATCCAGCGAACCTGAGATACGACGGCGTATCGGAATGGCAAAGGGAGCCATGACTTACTGGTGGTAGGACCTCTTGTGAGTCCGCGCGGGTAGGTACCACCGCCCTGCCTATTTCTGTCGTGAAGCAGTAATGCGTTTCGGTTTGAAGGGTAGAGCAGCCGTTGTAACTATACTGAGATCTTAGAACTTATATCTTAAGGTGGGTGGCGCATTTACGTTGTAGATGTCCATGGGCTCCAGTAACCACTTAACACCAGGTGGGCTGTGAGCTCGTCTACCGACCTAAGCAATAAAAAATAAAAACCCCGCCCAGTAAAATCTGGCAAGACCGTAATATTCGCAGAAAACAAAGATAAAACTGGTGCTCACTCTGGTCTTTTCCATTTTCTATATGGAGTGGAGACCTGGACCCTTAAAGCGGCTGATCGCAAACGCGTGGGTGCTTTTGGATGTCAATGTGGTGCTGGAGAAGAATGCTCCGGATACCTTGGGCAGCGAAGAGAACCAATGTATCTATATTAGACCAACTGCGGATCAAGATAAGACTATCTACACTCTGCCTTCGCCGCGCACTTGAGTACTCGGGTCATATTGCTCGGAAAACACTCGATAGCAGTCCGACAAGGTGTTTCGATAAAATCCGCACTACACTAGAGATCCCGTTCCACGAAGCCCTTCATGCGGCCAATGATCGGAGAAGCTGGAGAAGTCAAGTCCTGTCGAAATATGATGGTCACGACCCTCAGCAAGAAACGATGCGATGAGGAGAAAGCATTTATAGAGGTTGAGTATTTATATAACAAACGCTGAAATCGCGTGGCACTTATTAAAATAAAAAAGAGAAAGAACGAAACAAAAGACTTATTTGAAAATTATAAAATTTCATTGCATTTCATTGCATATAAGATTTTTTGTCTGTTATCATAAACGTTCTCAAATTGAAAAAGATGAATGATTTTATCTATTTCCCAAAAATGTTATAGGCTCTTTTACATAGTTCCACACCATGACCTACGACTTATACCGCATAGTCAATCAGTTGTCATTGAAAGTCAACATTATTTCTTTTTTATTTTATTACTTTTTCTTATTTCTTTAATTTTTGCTAAATTGTTGATCCACTATCCACGTTTTACTGTCGCTTTCAATGTCTGGTCAGTTATATTTGTGTCGTACTGAAATACAAACGGCATTTTCATAATGAAATATGGATATACCACGGAATAAATCATTAGAAAACGTAATAGTGGGTGCGCGTGTAGGCGCTAAATACTTTGGCTATTTTTGAATCATTTCTTTATATTAGAAAAAAATAAGTTATTTCATGCTGAGAAAATACAATGTACTTTGACCGAGCTAGCGGTCCACTAGTAGCTCCCACATATAGACAGACATTTGATGAATGCAAACCATACAACAATAGTTTCAAGGCCCCATTTGCGTAATGACTAATTTAATGTATAAATTAAATATTCTTCGACGCGCCATCACAATAAACTTTAGAACCTTCGAACTAATGATTTTATCATGTGTAATAACCTAAATCCCGCTCATCTCATACTATATATTATTTAAATAAATAATTGTTTGAAGAAGCACATGTCATAAAGTTCAGGAAATACCTTGAATAGGAGTTCATACATAAGCCAGATGGTGCATGCTAAAATAATCTCTGAAAACGTACTATGAATGAAGGCACTAGGTCTTGATATTATGAATAAACTCTGTACCGGTGCGGTCGTGAAAGGAGATAACGGGATGACGGGGTTCTGGAGCAATTCTTTATAGCACTAGTCGTGGAACATACGGTTTGAACATAAAAGCGTTTTTGTTAAAATGTAAAACAGACTGAGTATACTGATCATTCGCTTCAGAGGTTTTCTGCAAAAATAATTTAATATGGTTAAACATGAAGGCGCGGCAGTCTCCTCTTTGTATTAAAAAATAATTTTATATGTTCTTTTTTGCAGAGTTCGTGTAATTAAGGCTATGTTGAGAGCTCAGATGGCGGCAATTTTAATTTAGCTCTTAAAAGCGAAACCCTGTTTTAAAGTATGTTTCGTGAGGCGTTATTCAAAGTTCTCGATATTTTTTTGCGTTATGAAAATTTAAACCTATTTGTTTTAAACGACAACATTACTATGCTAATTACAAAACGCTATAATGAAAAATACGTGACGTGAAACGCGTTTTATGTATGTTGAGGTTATAAGTCATAAAACGGATTTACGATGACCTCTGTTTTAAAAGCAAAAAAAACTGATCTCCTGACGGTTTGTTTTTGTATTGAAATCTAGTGTACTACAATAGATTGCTTTTATAAACACAAAATAGTGAAACATTCATGGCCCCGTTGCACTTGTAGATATAGACTGGGACAAGGTATAAATTTTTTAAGTAATCATACAGAATGAATGATGAAGTGAATCTTTGTTCACTTTAACATAAAGATCAACACCATCTGGACACATGGTACACTTTTTTCTGGTTTCCGGTGCTGGTAACATAGCAAAATATTCTAACCTGAGGCCGTTGAATGTATGGCGATTATTGTCATTATTATTTATTAGGTGTGTGATTTTCGCGCTATAAAAAGATATAGCTATCCAGTACCAGCCGATTTG